CTGCATTTTTAGCAACAAAATAATGTTTTTCTGTTTTGTTTCTGATTATGAAGGTGACAAAATAATGTTTTTCTGTTTTGTTTCTGATTATGAAGGTGATTTTTAGAAAATAAGACAAATATATGTTAAAACTCATAAATTGCTTATCATCCAACTATCTAAGCAGAAATATTGTAAATCCTTTGGTGAACTTCCTTTGCCTTTTTTTTTAATATCTATTTCTAAATTTATAATGTGTCTATAATTTGGCTTTTATCCTGCATTCTTCTAAAACACGGGCATACTTATCCATATTCATGGGATGCATGGTATAAAGATGGTCTAATTTATTGTGAGTCCAGGGTCAAATTAGTTAAGAAATTTCTTCCTTTAATAAAGTCAGCAGTGGAGGTTGTGTTCCATCTGTACGTTTCATGGAGGATTCAATATACTACTGTATTACGATATTCTAAGAATTGTGATATTTATTTTGTCTCTGCCTTATGAGTTATGGAACCCTTTTGTGGGTAAGTCACTTGAAGAAATTTGAGTACAATTTGGGAAGATTAGACAAACATTTCCCCTGTGTGCTTTTCCTGTTATTGACTGTTTGTCCCCCTAGTGGCATTTCTTAATGTCCCATTTTCTAGATTACATTTTGTAATAAGCTGTTAAATACTAAATCATATCTAACCATCAGCTGTTCAGTACTAGATGACAGTTTGTAGTATTGGTGAGTAAGTTTTTGAAATGTCTTTACATGAATGTTTATAAAGTATTAGTTAGTACATTTAAAACACTCATTTGCTTCCTAGTCTGGTCTGGTCTCTCCATAATCCAGTGCAAGGAGTGGAAACTCTCATGCCACTGGGGACATGGTTAGCCCCTCCCCCCTTTTTCCTATAAAGTGTTAATTTATTGATCCTCCATCACTTACTATTTTCCTCTAATAATTCTGATTCACATTTAACTTTCCACATATTGCCTTTTATTCCTTCTCTTTGCTTTCCTGCTTTAAGCTCCTCAAATCTAGCTTTTTGTTGTTTTAGTAATTGCTTATTGCATAAGTTGAGGCAGATTTAAGTGTAAGAGGTATTCATATGCCTTTCTGTTCTTTATTTTTCTAGCTGTTGTGTCATTTTACCACTCATTAATAAGCCCACATATCATTTGCTCTGTGCCTCCTTTATCCTGGTATCCCTCTTCTACCATCAAGCTTTCTGCCAAGTTTTCACATTCACCCTCAGCTATGCCTTGTATATTCAAGCTGTCTTAAGCTTCTGACCTGGGCATTTCTTCATTGAACTCTTTCAGTCAGCTGGCAGATTGGTCTTTTCCTCTGGCCAAACAGGCAGAGGAAATTTCTTCTTTATCTCCAAATTCAAATGTAATTGAATCCGGTAGTATGTTTTGTACCTTAACTCCTTTATTCAATTTGTAAACTGTTTGTAAGCTGTTTGAATCTACTTTGTCTTCATCATGTTTTTTTCAGTGTGAGCTCTTGGACAGTAGGAAGTAGATTTATCAACTCTGGTTTTCACAATCTTTTCTGCTTTTGTTGAAGGGAGGAAATAGAAAGGAAAGGAGGGAAATTCCAGTCTAAAAAGTTATGTATTGATTCATAAATCTTAAGTTATCCATAACATTGGAATGAGTTATTTGTATATGTTTCAGGCTAACTTGAAAGAAGGAGAAGTCCCTTCTGTCTGACATGTTACTTTTATGGAATGTGAGTGAAATTCAGGAAAGCCAAAAAGGAATGTGAAGTAAAGAGCTTGCCTTTTTGGATTATCTAGCTCATTTAAGATTCAAGCATTGTGAAGTTATGTTTGTGTTTTAAACTAAAGTGTCCTTTTACATTCTGAGGTAAGATACTTGCAGGCAGTCTAAATCTATGTACACAACTTCAAAAACTATTTACAAGGAGAGCTGGGCACAGTGGCTATACCTGTAAACCAACTACTTGGAAGGTGAAGATCAGGTGGATTGTGGTTCAGGGCCAGCCCTGGGATTGAGGGGAGAGTTAGCGAGACTGCATTTCGGATGAACAGGCTGGGCATGGTGGTGCCTGTCTGTGATCCCAGCTATGCAGGAAGCCATAGATAGGTGGATTGTAGTCTAGGCCAGTCTGGGCAAAAATGCAAGACCCTATGTCAAAAATAACCAGCACAAAAAAGATTGGCGTGGTGCCTCAATTGCTAGTGCCTGTTGAGCAAGCTTGAGGCTCAGAATTGAAACCCCAGTTCTGGCGCAAAAACAACTTACATGGACATTTTTCATAAATATTTTAATGGTATCTATCTCTGCTGTAGTATGGCATTTAAATAGTTTATTCACCAGCAAAGTTCCTTATAATGCTGTGAAATTCTGAGAACTGGTCCTGTATTTGAGGCTGTGTCAGTTGAGAACCCCATAGCATCCTCTTTTGGACTGTGGAAATACAGTATTTGGTGCTCATTGTGATTGTTGCAGGACAGGAACTGTAGTGACCCCTCACCTCCTTCCGTATCTTCTCCTGTAACCTGCAAATTGCTCTCTATGCCCTTGGCACAAAGAAAGTTTCTTGTGTTGTTCCTTTTTCATTTGGTTCCTTGAATTATTTATTGTTCCCACTTCCTCACCACTCATTCATTTCTTTAGAAAAGTTATTTTTCCGTCTTTTTTTTCCCTGGTAGCTAATTCATTGTAGGAAGTAGATAAATATGAAATATAGCAAGTAAGCCCTTGCATGTATCTTAGCTGAAGTTTAGGGAAGAGGGTCATGACCAGAGATACTTAAAGCTGCAGGTCAACCAGGTAGCATATCTGGCATGACATTGTCAGAGCACTGGTCACCATGCAGGTGCTCCCCACCCAGCAGTTTCATTCAGCTCAGGAGCACTTGTGATCCAAACAAGTCAACACCTGCTTTCCACAGTAATGTTTTTATTCCTTATGTCCACACCTGCTGTTTCACCCTAATGCATGCAGTGTTCATGTGCGTCTTAATAATAATACCCTTTGCATCCCTTCCCAAACAGGAATGATACTGACTAGTGGTCAGAGAGGGGGCAAAAATACACAGTTATCACAGAGGTCAAGAGAAGAGAGTTTCAGGGATAAGGGAGGGGTCAAAGTGCAAACACCTCTCCGAGTCAGGGACTCGGAGACTGTTTTTAGCCTTGACTGATCTCTGTAGTTCCCACTTTCAGCACTACTGGGTACTTCATATCTGAATGGCTGACTTGCTCTGGTCAAGTAAGCCTTACCAGGAGATAACAATTATTAAAGATCTTACAGTCAGAATGGAAAGAGGCATGACCTGTGTACTTCTTTGTCATGACCTTTCTGCCTGAACTTCCCTTGATGAAGGGGCTGCTTCTTTAACTATTCTAAGCACCAGGTGTGTGGTTCATGCCCAGAAGAGAATGTGGAAATGTTGGAAATGATTAGAAGAGAAGGGGAACACTTCTGGAAGAATGGCATTAGAAAAAGGTGACAGGTTTGGCTGTATAGACCTTAAGTAATGAAAAGACTTTAACTAGTGGAACTGACCTCAGTGAACTAACTGTGATACCTGTAGGTGGGATTAGTATTCTAGCTAAGTGGATTCACTGTGGACTTAAATAGTATTGAGAGCTGGAAAATTACACATGTAAAAAGGAGGTTTTATATAGCCTCCTCCAACAGATGGAAGTAACATGCTGTAAGTTAATATTGCTCTTCTGTTTAATTCTACTATGTTTTTTTCTTTTACCATATTTAAAGATGCTTAGGCAGGAGAATTACTGATAATTGTTACTGTGTGTTTGCTTTAAGAAATAGGTTATAGGGTGTTAATGATCAGCCATAAGATGATATGCATGGATGGGCATCCTAATTTTCAGCTGGTGGTTTAATAATGCTAAGCATGTATATTTCTGTATTTGCTTATCAGTGCCCAAAGTTTATCTTGTACCTCCAGTGGGTTTGATGCTGTAAATAACAAACAATGGAAGGACAGAAAAAGAAATAGGAAAGAAGCTCCTCAGAACTGAAAAAAATGCATTACTTAGTTGCCCCACTCAACCTCATTCAGCTTTTATAGGTCATTAAACTATGGTGTTTCTCCCCCAGTGCTCATCTGTATTTTAAAATGAAAACATTGAGTTGTTATAATCAAGATTTAGCAGTACTCTCAATATATATTTAAAGTTGCTAGGAAATTTTTGTATTTAAAATAAGGTTTTAAATAAATACTTGTTAAGATACAGGAAATGAATGAGATGGCTTGGGAAAGAAAATACTGATGGTGAAGATTGATCATTTCCAACATAGTTTTGTTTGTTGTATTGTAGGCCAGCTTTTAGTTTTCTTCTGCAATGGACACTTCGGAAAGATGGGTCTGCAGTAAACTGTTTTCTAAGGCAGATGAAAAGTGGCAAGAATGAGGTTTTTTTTTTTTTTTTTTTTTATGGTGAGGTTGGTGTGTTGGCTCTTTAGGGTAGGAATGATCTGGGAATGGAAGATCACTTGCTTGGGTTTCTGTGAGTGTGAGAAATATTAAGATTTATTTAGAATTATTCTTTATACTAGTTCATTATTTCTTTGAAGGTATCTTACTGAAATAGCAGCTTTTATTGGGATGGACAGGTGCTTGTGTTTTGGTGGAGTTGATTGACTTTCCTTCCATTTTATGAAGAGCACCTTTTGAACCTTAGCCTAGGCCACGCTCATTGTCCCTGGTGCTGCTGCAAGCAACAGTTGGTATAGTATTTCACTCAAAGGCTTGCAGTTGAAAGAGGAGTGCAGACAGTTGTAGAATGGAAGGGAAATCTTAACAGTCTGACCATGGACTATCCAGAAAGCTCAAAAGCCAGGTTTAATTAGGTAGCAGTGCAAAACCATTATCTTTTTCATAAATACAGAATAGAGGAGTGCGAGTGAAGACAATGGGCATTTGTCTGGCCTGCTGGCCAGACTTAGCCTACAGTAGCCCTGCATTCTGCAGGCAGCTCGTGTTTTTTAAACACTCCTTAATGTTCCAGCTTTAAATAGCAACTAGTCTTCTAAAAGGATGCTGGGTGCTGCGGGAGAAAGGAAAGTGGCTGCCTTGGAGGCAAGAAGCTGACAGGCGAGATGCTTAATTATCGTGGAAGTAAGTGCTTGTTACTGTGGAGTACAGCATGCAGTGAGCGGGTCCTCCTTGGTGTCAGAGTGGGATTTGTAGACAATGCCGCCTTGTCAGCTCAGTGCTGGGTCAGCAGCATCTTTCCAAACAAGGATCTGGCAAGAATTTAAAGGCCACCTCTTGTGTAATTTACGGAGTCTTGGAAAAGGATCTGCTGCCTTTCTTTTCAAGATGTACGCAACCATGCAGGATTTCGTAGTCCGAATCTATCCCTGCTGTCTTCTGCCTGACGTGCTCATGAGGAAGTTCGTTTTCCTGATCGTCACCTGGAAAGATGCTAACAGTTGTCTGTAATCTTTGGGGAGACATGGAGAGGGCTGCTCAGAGCAGCGTTTTGTTTCTGCCGTCATCATAAATTAATGTTGATGGGATGGAGGAGATGGCACTGCTTAAGGAAATACAGGCATTTTGTGAAGTAGTAAAGGACTTGCATCTTTAAGAGTAGGTGAAACTAGGGAGAGCTTGAGAAGAGGTGACAGTGAATGTTGGATTTACTCTGCAATATTCCTTGGCTGGGTGAGTAGAAGAAAATTCAGAAGAGTGCTAATGAGTGTAATGGCTCTGGAGAAAACCTGTTTATTTTCTCTCTGCTGTATTTGCTTTTGCAAACTATGTTAAGCCTTTGTAAGGAAAATAATACTGATTTGAGATATGGAAGGAATTAAAAAGTATTGCAGCATATTCAATAAAATCACCTTTCGGTTTTTAGTTTTGTCAAAAAAAGAAGACTTATTACTGCTCTGATCACCTGATTCAGTTGGTTTTGTCTCAAACTTCTGGTCAGCACATTGGCTTATGATGTCCTAACTGTTAAAGGTCCCAGGAGCAAAAGTCTGTACCTGTGGTAGGAGAGTTGGTGTTACCCCTCCCAGTTTTATGAAACACTTCAATTAAACCGAGCTATTAATTGCCCTTTCTTCAGTGTAAATGATGGATTTTATTACATGATTTCACTTTCTTTTTTCTTTTAAACCTACTTTATTTAAAAATACAGCTCGCGGAACTGTAAATCACAGTCCAGAATTGAATCTTTTATTTTCCTGTGTCTGATTTTGGCATTTGCACATTTATTTTTAGATGTATTTGTCAAATGCTAATTCAAATTATCCTTCTCTCTTTTAGAGAAAGCATGGGATTATGGCATTCACAGACTCCCAGTAAGACAAGTTCCATTCAGTTTTTTCTGAAAGACAGCCATCTATTAAAGTGAAGCAAAGGAACTCTTGTGGATTACAATGTTTTGAAGATCTGGATTTTCAGTGATTTGAAAATAAGGCATCATTTAACCTTGTAAATGAAAAAGCTTAAGACCTCATACAACTGCTGTATTTTCTGGAAACTGTTCTCCAAAACGGAAGTACACATTTGAAATATAGATATGATGGTCCCTTCTGCAGGGATTTAATTCTAATTACTTTTACATCATGACCAGTTTGAAACGGTCACAGACAGAAAGGCCTATTGCCACTGACAGGGCTTCTGTTGTTGGTACAGATGGCCCCCCCAAAGTCCACACTGATGACTTCTACATGCGTCGCTTCCGGTCCCAGAATGGCAGCTTAGGATCATCAGTTATGACTCCTGTAGGGCCCCCTCGAAGTGAAGGTTCTCACCATATAACCTCGACTCCTGGAGTCCCCAAGATGGGGGTTAGGGCAAGGATTGCAGATTGGCCTCCAAGAAAGGAAAACATAAAAGAATCGAGCCGTTCAAGCCAGGAAATAGAAACCTCAAATTGCCTTGAGAGCATGTCCTCCAAAAGCAGTCCTGTGAGTCAGGGAAGTTCTGTTAGCCTAAATTCCAATGACTCAGCCATGCTGAAGAGCATACAGAGCACACTGAAGAGCAAGACCAGACCATCGGAGAACATGGACTCCCGATTCCTCATGCCTGAAGCCTATCCCAGCTCCCCCAGGAAAGCCCTTCGCAGAATAAGGCAGCGGAGCAACAGTGACATCACCATAAGTGAACTTGACGTGGATAGCTTTGATGAGTGTGTCTCACCCACATACAAGACTGGGCCGTCACTGCACAGGGAATATGGTAGCACATCTTCCATTGACAAGCAGGGAACATCTGGGGAAAGCTTTTTTGATTTGTTAAAGGGCTACAAAGATGACAAATCTGATCGAGGTCCAACTCCAACCAAGCTCAGTGACTTTCTCATCACCGGTGGGGGCAAGGGTTCTGGCTTCTCTTTGGATGTTATTGATGGGCCAATTTCACAAAGAGAGAACCTCAGGCTTTTTAAGGAAAGGGAAAAACCACTCAAGCGGCGTTCCAAGTCTGAAACTGGAGATTCATCCATTTTTCGTAAATTACGCAATGCCAAAGGTGAAGAACTTGGGAAATCGTCGGACCTTGAAGACAACCGATCAGAAGATACTGTCAGGCCTTGGACATGTCCAAAGTGCTTTGCCCACTATGATGTCCAGAGCATATTGTTTGATTTGAATGAGGCGATTATGAACAGGCACAATGTTATTAAAAGGAGAAACACTACCACAGGAGCTTCAGCAGCTGCCGTGGCATCCTTGGTCTCTGGACCTTTATCCCATTCAGCCAGTTTCAGCTCACCAATGGGCAGTACAGAGGACCTGAATTCCAAAGGAAGCCTTGGCATGGACCAGGGAGACGATAAAAGCAATGAACTTGTAATGAGCTGTCCATATTTTCGGAATGAGATAGGTGGAGAAGGTGAAAGGAAAATCAGCCTATCCAAGTCGAATTCTGGCTCGTTTAGTGGGTGTGAAAGTGCCTCCTTTGAGTCTACCCTCAGCTCCCATTGCACAAACGCTGGAGTGGCAGTACTTGAAGTGCCCAAGGAAAACTTGGTGTTACATCTAGATAGAGTGAAAAGATACATCGTGGAACATGTAGACCTCGGTGCCTACTATTATAGGAAATTTTTCTACCAGAAGGGTGAGTAGAGATTGTTTATTTTTTAAATTTTTTCTTTGGCTTTACTCTCTGAAAAATAAAAAAAGTTTTGTATATTAACTTTTTTAGTAGTGTGACATAAGATTTGTGTGAATTCCTTATCTTTCTCGATGGTAAAATATTTAAATATCTCTGCGGTAACATTTCTTTTTACATATTTTTAGTCATTTTCCTCTTTTGGGTATATAAATGTTTTGTAAATTAAATATCATGTTTTTTTTATTAAAATCTATTTGATCTGGTGAATTTAATTACAGTCTATGTAATGTCAATTTGCTATGTCACCTTTAAGGATAGATGTGTTAAGTTGAAAGTATTTTAAATATGGCTTGCTTTAAGATTACAAAAATAATTTTGATGCTACCTTTCATTTTTTGGCACTTTTGCAGCTAGTGCAGGATCATTTCTTTGCCACAATGTTCTTATTAATAATTGGGAATTATAATATGTTCCTATCCATTTCACAGAAACTTTTGTGAAAATCAATTACATTATTTGACGAAAGTCAGAGCCAGTAAGTCCAGGTCTTTGATTTGAGTAGAAAAGACACCAAAGAGAGAAGTAGCCTTAATATGCTGGTGACTTCCTTTCTAGTCTTTTATGGAAGGGTGGGTTTAAATATATATATTAGTCATAGGTACATGTATGTACATATGTACATACATATATAATCTTATTTAGCTATTATATATAAATGTATGTATTTATTTGAGAGAGCTGAGATTATACTTTATCATCGTATCTCCTACTTTTAAGAAAGGCAATGTGATTTATTGAAAAATAGTATAAATGAACTTTCTATAGTGTTTCTTGAGCAGCATTAAAATTGAGGGATAAGTTTCAGCCATCTAGGTACCCAAGGTAGAAATAGAATGTTCACAAGGAAAGGCATACTCATGTGGCCCACTCGGTAGATGAGCAATCGCTGCAGCCAGGCAAAGAGGCCTGTAGAGAGAGGTTTCTTGCTACAAACTACTCCAGCAGTGTTTTGATTTCCTACCTATTGTTTTAGGGTTTTAAATGTTATTTAGATTTGTTTTTCTGTATGAAGTTTAGTTTCAAATCCCGTACTCATTATAGTTTTATGACAGTACTGTTCACTTTAGATTTTAATATCTTAAGATTGTTACTACATAATGGACCCCATTGAAGTGGTTTGTCAATGGAAAGAACCTTGTTTCATTGCTGAATATCTGTGTCTTTTCTCATTACTAAGTATCTATGCCATTGGTTCTGGAATCAATATAATGAAAATCCCAGTTTCAATTTAAAGTATATTTTCTTGAGTAATTTTCTGCAATTCAGATTTCAGAGTTTGTTTCTTAAACTCACCAACTTCACATTTGGGGGCTGATGGTTCTTTGTGTGGTAGAGGCTGTCCTCTGAATTGTAGGATCCCTGACTCATACACCCTTAAAGCCAGTAGGTTCCCTCTCCCTAGTTGTAACAGCCTAAAATATACCTGGAATTGTTAAATGTCCCTTAGGAGGTAAAATGCTCCTCACTGAGAACTCTGCTTTACTGTACCAGGAAACATTTTTAAACATTTTTAAAGCATTTCTGAACTGCCTCCACCTATAAGTATCACTGACTTTGAGTTGAACATAAGAGAGAGCATACTAGTTTTATCTCAGTTTTATTGTCATTGGTGTTTTTTTGGTATCAGGAAATATTATGATACTAATAATGAGCCTTTTTGAGTACTATGTGCCAGGCGCTGTGCTTGGCACGTAGTATGCCTTTTGATATGGCATACTTTTTTTTCCATTTCAACTTCTTGAGACCTGTGATGTAGGCATTGTTGTTTATCCTGTTTTCCAGATGAGAAAACTGGTTCTTAAGTGATAGGGTGTCACTTAAGTGTGGGAGCCAGGATTCCACCTTTGTCATGTTCCTCTCAGCATAGTCATGTTCTTTTTATTCCTTGATTTCTATTATGTGAGGTGAAGAGGAAGGGGTTGTCTTGTTAACATACTTTATTTTTCAAAAGTATAGAATAAAAATTTGAATACCTATACTCCAGAGCCATCCTGCTTAATACCTTTAATACCTCATAAATTTAAAAGCCACAAATGCAATAGTTGCTAATGGAGCATGGAAAATACCTTTTTCACCTAATATAAGTTCAGTTGAAAACATCAGTTAAAACAGGGAATTATTGAAAAGTATAAATATCTGAAATGTTTCATTTTCATTAAGACACGAAAATATATTTGCCAAACTCCTGTTAGTCCAAGAACTTTTCTGTAATAGTGATTCTATTTTTAAATTCTACATTTTATTACTAATATAAATCACAAGAGCAAAAATGTAGAACTAGCAAGAATCTGTCTTATCGTTATTTTTTTTTCTTTTTCGTAGCTGTCATGCCCACATCTGATCCAGCTGCTTTCTTCTTAATGATTTGCCTTTAGTAAATCTTCCCAAAATCTTCAACTCGGTTTTCAGAGAAACTATATTTATCTTTTGTACTCATATTTCATCAGTTTTTGTAGTAATTGTTTCATAATAAAAACAAGTTATTGGTATCAGCAGGTCTGGGAAGATGCAGCAGACTTGGCCAGCACCATGTCCAGCTGGTGGGAGCAGAAAGTGCCTGTGGCACTGGTCATTATTGTGTCAGGAACAGTGAGCAGCGGTCAATCCAGGAGGCTGCTCCTGGGGAGAGTCACAATGCATGCCTGCTCTAATAGCTCTGCCTGGGTTACACAGCTTAGGATTTTCTAGTCATCTGTCATGATGTAATATTCTACAAATTAGAGCTCCATGGAACACCTTATAAAGCAGAAATTAAAGCCCTTAAAGTATAATTGTATATTTAAAAGCTTAAATGTTATCTATGCTATGTATGACAGTATAAAATATAGTTAAATAATTCTTACAATTTTTACTTTACAACTTTGACTCACTGAAATTAGTGGCCCAATTCACTTTTCTTGGTCAGAACAGAAAGCACATCCTCTTGTTGAAGGAGTATAGAAGTGTCAGGTGAAATTTGCCCTCCAGCACCAAGGAGCAACTCGTATGACTTGGCTGTCACCTCTCCCGCTTCATCACTAGTTTCCATGTGTTCTTGACTTTGTTGTGGTTAAGTCTTGGGGATTTCATTTACTGAAGTGGGTGCTGTAGTCAGCATTGTATAAATTTAATCATGTTCAGTTGCTGAGGCTGTGGCCATTTTAATATTATTTTGTATTTGTAAAGATCCTTCTTTTGCAAACTTAAACCTTAAAGGATATTTGACTCCAACAACACAAGCCAAGTCCATTCCTGGAAAAATGTTCAACCAATGGAGGAATTCCATTGCTTGATAAGATAAGCAGTACACCATTGATCCTCCTTTTTCCTGCTGCTTCTCTTTGCCATTTTGCTAAACTGAAACTAACCCAAGATACAATGACAGTTATAACATAGCTAGCATTTGTTGTGTTGCTGCTTTGTGCTGTATGTAGACCTCTTCACTTAATGCTTGTCAGATATGGAAGTGAATGTCACGGTGATCAGAATTCAGGTGATGTGACTGTAGATGAGGTAGTAGGATAGCATTCACATTAACTTGGTCGACATTTTCCTTTGAGTACATGCTTATTTGTGATTAACTTTTACTTAATTTCCATGATCAAAGTACCAAGTTAAAGAATAATTAAATGTTGCCTGTAGTCCCCATGGCTTCTTGAGGAGGGGACTCCCAGTTATTACTCACCTCATTCTCTGTGGCCCTACACTGTTCTCTGCTTTTCATTGAGTATACAGTTACCTATGAGGTATGTTCTTGAATTCCATTCAAAGGGATGTATTAATGGAAGCTAGAGGAGCCCATGGATTACCTTGGCAGTAACATTTGGATTATTGATTAACAGTGTTAATTAGCTTATCTCTATGTCAAGTGGGTATCACTCACAAAGTAAACTTATTGAAGCTGCTGTCATAGTGAAGGGCCTCCCCCAATTGTTCAATGGCCAGGAGAAACTGCAATCACAGCTCACCTGAGAATATTTTCCCAGCCCTAAAAGGAGGGAAAACTAATGTTCATGTGTCTAATTATTCTGATTTTGATTCTAAACCACCAGATTTTATTGTTCCTACCATTCATCTTCCTCCTCTTTTCACACATGCACACAGTTTAACAATATGCAAGGATTATCAGTTTAAGGAGACAAGTTGGATTTCAGTTACTACCGTGAAGAAGTCCAGTTTTCTTTTTTACCTCTCACTCTTTTGTAATCAGCCATTTTTAACAGCCTTTTTTTTTTTAGAATATCGCACATAACCTCATTTATACTAAAACGATAGCTTTAGCACTCTGATGTAATCTCAATTTTGCTATCGAGAGTGGCTTTTTAGGTTCCACTCTGTTAAATATTCATCATTATATAGCTCTTGTAAGTTTTAGTGGATTATTTCATAGTATATACTTAGCATCAGAAAATAGGACCAAAAAGAAAAGTGATCTACATTGAGACCACAGAGCCACACCAACTTTACAACTCCCAGTTGTACACAATAAGAATAGATTGATAGCTAAAACCACCCTACTCTAGAATAATTTTTACTAAGATATACATTATTCCCCTAGAAGGTAAACTTTTTCCTCAAGAGTTCTTGTGTGCATAAACGACAATTTATGAATGAGGCTGGAACATCTGTACATCTCATCCACTGGATAATTAATTGGCCATGCAATGGCTGCAGCTGTGCTCTACCAGGTAGCTTTGCATTTATGTTAACTAATGAGTGGCTTGAGTTTAGTTCTTCATGTGGAGTTAGTCCTTTTGTTTTCAGTAAAGAAACAAATGAAGAAACCTCACAGGAGTTGCTAAGGCATAGTTCCTGAGCTCTGGTGTGACTAGCATGTCTTTTTGGTTACAACCCTTGCCTAAAGTAGGCAGACCTGACACACTGCTCTCCCAGCAGTCCCTGGGAGTTAAGTGTAAACAGCCAGCAACGAGTCCCGTTTAACAGATTGAGAAACCCAGTATTTG